TAAAAAATTATATTAACTAGGTAGTAATGGAGATGGGTCCACAACATAAAAAAAAACTTCTGTCAACTCATCTACTGGGTGGGAAGCTGCAGTCACTACAGTGCAATTGTAAAATTTACACAAGGTAAACTTACGAAATAATTATTGATATGGGTGTGTAGACCCAGCAGTCAACCCAATGAGCGATGACAACTGCTTCGTTTGTGTATTATCTATACTGATAAGAGTTTACACCAAACAAATTATGTTTTGAGAAAATCTGTTCCTCCTGAAAACAATACAAATAGTATCCACATTAGATAAATAATAGGATTTAATTAATTAGGTACCTAGGTATATTATTATATTCTATATTAATAAACTCACCAATAGGTATCCATATTGCATACCAAACATATCACTGATCAATACTCAACTAAAACGGTGTGTATCTGCAGTAGATAAATCAAACGAAGTGGTTAACCACTAAACGAGATGAGAAGGCACTGGAAGGCGTAAAAAGCTTCAGTCTTATGGTGGTGCAGTGAACCCAGTGCATTGGGTGCCAGGAGTCTTGAGAAAAAAATATTTTAAAATATATATAAATGCAAAAAATTTCAAAGGTGACGTAGTAAAAAAGGTAGTGAAAAAAAAAAATACTGACCTGACGACAAACGAGCGACTGAATGACGTGTGGTGTGGAAAATGGTTTTTCACTCGACTCCCGAACAACGGATTCGTGGCGATTATTATTGTTGTTATAGCGAAAAATAAATAATAATAATTACAACAATAACGACGAAATAACGAGGACAATAATAACAATAATAACAATAATAATAATAATAATAATAATAATGGTAATAATAATGGTAATAATAACCGCCGTCGGATAGTCTAGGATGGTGTGCACAGCGACGAGGTTGCGGCGGCGGCGGCGGCGTTGGCGGCGACAGAGATGGTGAATCGAGGGGAATTCGCGCACGCACACCGTTTCTGTCGCGAGCGTTTACACAGACGCCCAACGGCCACTCGTTCGCTCGAAAACTACTCAATGACAATTCATACGCACACACACGCACACACACACACGCACGCACGTACACACACAGCCACACGCGCGCACGCAGACGCGAGACACCGGCACCGCAATAGATTACGCACGCCCCGGCGGCGTCGTAAACGGTATCGAGTAATGCACCCGGCGACCGCGGGTGACGGTGGCGGCGACGGGCGCGCGATCTCGGCCCATCCCTAAAATAATCATCATAATCATAATCGCAATAATAATAGACTGAAAGGAAATAAAAAATAAAGATAAAGGACGGGAGGAAAATGCGCTACATCCCGCGGGATGCCCACAGCCGGGTATCGGTGTGACGCACGCCCACGCGCGGTAGTGTCGGCGGGCGGCGGTGGCGGCGGCGTACGCTCGGCGCGTATCGGATCGATTTTTCGCGCCCCTGGCATTCATGGAATAGGAAAACGTTTCGCGGCCGTCGGGAAAATCAAACGCGATAAACGGACAAGCCAAAGTATGAAATGTTGTGAAAAAAACAAATTGAAAATTTGACCACCTAACCGCGGTGATCGCTAAAGAAACAAAATTAATAATAATATAATAAAAAGTTAGAACAATATTATTACCTAACCGATATTATAATATTTTCCACAATAAAACGTGTATAACTACAAATAACGAATACATAAAGTGATAAAATAAATTCATCAAAATAATAAGTTCTGAAAGTTATTAACAGGTCGCTAAGAATTTAAAAAAAAATCTATATTTTAAAAGTACAGTTAGTATAGTAGAGTTTATTATTATTTTGTATAGATATGTTTTACAACAAAAAAAAATCTATTCTGGAAGCCATATAATATAGAACAGCGGTTCTCAACCTTTTCATATTAGCGTGCCATTTTTACACGTTTTGAGATTTAGCCACTTGACACGGTTACTAAGCTATTTTTTTACTAATTAAAAAATAAAATGTGTATGTTATTTTACATATATGGAGTTTTTAATTATTACATCTACATATTTATAAGCATTTAATACACAAAAATAAAATAAAATTTGTGCATTTATTATTTGTATTATTATTATTGTTATAGATTAATGAACTACAGATTACAAAAAATTACTTTTTTTTTCAATAATCGAAAAATTCCAAGAATCGCTGATACAGAGTATCATTCCGTAAAGTTGACCATTATTGTTTCTGGAACACTCTGTAATCTGTATAACCAAGCACCAAGTACCTACTGGTTACAATATTGTATTTCGATTCATCGATTTAAATTTTAGATTCTGAGTGGATCGAAGAAGCTTATTATTTTAAAAAGATGTTAATTTTTTTTTTTCTATAGACAACTTTTCTATCAGAAATCTTGCTTCGATTTACACTGATAGCACTTTTTCCGAAAGGAAATCTGACTGGGAAGGTATTTTAAATAGATCATTTATCGATTTTTCCAATAATTTTCTCAGTGAATGTGAAAAACCGGGAAAAATATGGGAAAACCAAGAAAAACAAGAAAATCAGTTCAATATTAAACAAATATTATTAAAGAAAATTTTTAATTCACGTGTATATTATTTTACCATAATATGGCATTATATTGTTAACAAAACAACACTATCAACCAAACTCCGCTTAGAATCGTTTTTTCGTTAGCAATGGTTTATCGTTGCTTACAGATATACATTAAATTCCAGCCTGTATCATACTATCCCAACTTTCCACCTACAACAGTGACTGTGCCCGTCCCCATTATCTTAGGATAGCTTTTTTTTTTTTTTGGAAGAAAAGGATTTTGTCCTACACTATAAGAATCGTACCTATATTGTTAGTTACAAAATAAAACCTCGTAAGTTAATATTGTGATTTTTTTTTTTTTTTTTCATAAAGGACAACATTTAAGTTTTTTAGATCTCATGTGGAAAAATTGACCAACACCCAAATAACTGATAAGACAATTAACATACAGCCAAAATACTAATAAAGACAATTAAAAAAGTATTCGTCCACTATTAATTGACCTACTAGATTGCGAGATCAACCAGTATTTTAAATGATGATATAAATTTTACGTCTCTCGTATAATGTCAATTTCTCGAATAATACCCGTAGCCAATCCTTTATAGTCCAATTCTAATATATGCAAGTACGTAGTTGTCTTTGCATCACCATGCAATTTATGATATAAATTAATTACAAACATTTTTTAGTAAGTTTTTTTTTTTGTAAAATTCTAAAATTGATTTTAAAAGAATGTATTGGTTTTACACTATGTTTTTTAGATTCTGAGCGTAGCTAGGGATTATTGGTTTTAATGTTTTTATTATTATTATTATTTTTTTTTTTTTGATATTTGTATTTGGCAACTTTTTTACCAAAAATCTTACTCCAATAAAAAAAGCAATGATACCTTTATTGTTGCATTTTTGATATAGTTAGTGAAAAAGTATTTCACTATTTCATTTTTCAAGCGGTTTTCATAATAAATAGGAAAATTATGTAAAAAGAAATTGACAAATTTACGACGCACAGTGGTCCAAAAAATTAAAAACCGACATTTTTTGATAAACGGATAATTTTGTGTCAAATTAACAATTTAAAAAAATTAAATTTTAAAATATTTTGAAACAGTTTAGACCCTCTCTCCTAAACATCGAAAATATGATTTAGTTCCAAGTTGTTCATGTGAGTAGTCAGGTTGTATGTACGTTTTTTTTATATTCCTAAGTTGATATTGTTAACTAATTTTTTTTATAATGTAGTTTTCATAATAATTGAGAAAAAACTGGAAAAAGACGTTAAATGTTCGATTTTGGTTTTGTATCGTAAATCTGTTAAAAATTATAGAGATTTAAAATATTTACATAATACTTTTATTAGCATTTTCTAGATGTGATAAAATTTTAAAACATTTAAAAAAATAAGCAGTTCTTTTTTTAATATTCTTAATAGTCTAATTTATACTCACCTTAATAATGATTTTCTGTTTTTCGTTGATTTTAACTAGCCTATATAAAAAGGTAAAGAACATTGCTACACTCAATGTAAATATTAACTATCTTCTCCTGAATATATTTTCTTTAAAATTCTTGTTTTTCAATCAATTAATGCCATACTAAATTACAATTGTTCTATGCTTTATTTCATTTTATCAAACTCTTCCTCTTATTTAATGTCTTTTATACCCGATAATTATATTCCCTCCTCTGTATCGTGTTCTAAAATATTATATGACTGGTCTAATGACAATTACAATGCTATTTTATCATTCCTCATTTCCTCAGATCAATTAATTGGTCAGAATTTTTTTAATGTAAGCAATTATATTTGCATTCTTATTGACGAATTTTACTATATTCTATATTTCATTGTAAAGTCTTATATTCTAATAAGAAAAATCACTTAATCTTCATTTCTTCTTTAGTTTTCTAAATACCCAATTAAATTAATAAAACTAAAAAAAAACTTATACTATTTCAAGATGTCTAACCCTAACAGTGATTATATAAAATTGTCTTCTACACAGTCGCAAAACAAAAACTTTAGTAAATCAGATTACCTTTACTATCTAAATACTTATAAACAAATTTCCCTAAAAACACAACCAAAAAAGCTTTGATCATAAAAACATGGGCGCCCATTGGGGAGAAGTCAAGAGGGGGCATGTCCTTCATAGAAAATAATAAATGATCCTAAATAAATTATGTACCTACCTATGTTTTAAAGTTTAAATCCATCAAAATAAATGCTACTACCTGTTATTATTCATATCCTTTATATCGATGATGATGAATTAGTGAACGCATATTATGGGCATATATGGCAGTCGAAGGAGTTTAGGAAAAAAAGCAAGTGAAAAAAAAGCATAAAGAAAAAAAGCAAGTGGTAAAAAAGCAATATATTTATTTTACACATTATAATAAAAAAAGTTTTATTGGTTAGTACTACGTAATATTACATAGTACCATACACCATGTATATGGTACCATAATATACCTACACAATATTTTAATACTATTGACTATATTATTGTAATATATTTAATGATAATATTTTAAACGTTTTTACAAAAATAATTATCGGAGCAAGTAATTGAAATCTACAGTCCATAATTGAAACCAAATGTAATAAAAATGACTATTATTGTAGTGTAAGTACAAAATATATAAAAATTAACAAATGAAGCCAAAAATATCAGTAATAAAGCTATGACCATAGCAAATCATATAATCCGATGGTCATCATAACCGCACTCTTTTATACAGTTTCCTCAAAATTATACCGTTCAATACCGCACACATTTTACTTTGTGTCCTATCATGCGTGGTTCACCCAACAAATCAAAGGTTATTTTCGATTAAAATTATCCGAGTAAACACAGCGAGCGAGTGACCACATTGGGTCTCTAATTTCACCTGTAATGCTTCTCACTTCCAAGCAAATGTGTGCGGTTTTGAATTATGGATCTTTCAAATTTCCATTTTTAATATTAGACAAAATGCATGCGGTTATGAACGGTAAGTGTGCCGTTTTCAACGACGCCCATGTACTCGTATAGCCTACGCCGGATGCCGGTTATAGATAACAAAAATTCTTGATAATAATCATATGGAAAATTTCTTAAATGCTATAGAATATAATATTATACGTTTTAAATAAATACATTTTTTTTTATAGGTACCTATATATTTTTTTACACTCGTAAATATATATAAGTGTCTTCTAAGTTTTAAGTGACTATATTCATGTTTAATTTTCAATATAGTTTAGATTACAAAATACTTTGAAGCAACTAAAATTTAAAATTTGGGGAACTAACATTTTTGTTTATTTAGCTCTCTAAAGAGTTTAATATTTTGTGATATTTACAAAAAAAAAGTTTCGATTCAGAGTGGATTTTTAGAAAGTTCGGCATTAATAGACATTTAATACTCCAAAATGCCTGTCTTAAATAGTAAATGGATCGCCTAACAATATTTCCAGAAATTATTTTGATCCCACTCCACCCCTGAGAATTATATATATTTATATAAATATAACTATATTAATTTATTTAATTTTCTAACGGACTTACTTTACTTTCATATAATTTCATAAACTTTAAGGTCTTGTTAGAAATCTAAACTTGTACCTATATACAAACTAATAATATAAAATTTATATTTTTATATTAGATACAAAATGAGAAGGTTTATACATATTATTTTTATTTTATTGGACACGATGACATAAATATGAAAAAATATGTATACTTTTACTTTAAATAAAAAAATAAACATAGATTATTGTAATACAACTAATAATATATAGGTAACATTACTTAGGAAAACATATTTTTCGTGCTTTTTTGATGCAATCAGGTCAATTGTCTCATTGTAGCCCAAATAATTTGCAATAATATGTTCGATGCTGATAAAATATATTTGAGTGCAAGCGTTAGGCCAATAACAATGTGTTTAGCTGTCTTTGTATAATTGGTACAGTCTTGATTTTCGTCGTAACAACCAGTGTTCTAAGAAAACCACTCGGGTCGCAATTTGTGTACTATTGGGACAATATTGTTATGATTATTTATGGATAAAATGATATTTGATATAAGTACATAATTTTCGAGATCCGATCGGTTTGCCCTCCCCCCCCCCCTAAAGGACCGGCACTGGATATAGATTTGAAACTTTAAACATGTAGCTCAGAATTGGATGATAATATAATGATATGCAAAATTTAAAAACATATGTTACGGCTAATATTGAAAATTGGATGTCAACTTTTCGTTCAGTAGAACAGATTTTATTTTTTAACTATTTTGCAAGGATCTTACATAGTAGGTAATTCGCAAACTTCAAAAATATAATTTTTATGTTAGGTACCCAGTTTTATACGTATTGATTTATGTACTTAAGTATTAAAACAAATTTTCATAGATCAAATTTAACTTATTCTTATTGTATGTAAACGTTTACATAATAAGGGCAGGCGCAGAAATATAAACCGGGGGGAGGGGGAAGGCAAAGTCAAAATTCATAAGATTTTTTTACAACTCACAACTTTATATTTAAGTCATACAAGTAATAAAACAATTAATATTTAATATTAACTAAAATAGCGGAGGTACCATGGCCTCCACCGGCACCCACCTGCGGGTGTTCTTGCACAACAATAACATACAATACAGTTTTGAATCAGAGCTTCCTGACCGCAACTATCAGAAATTTAAAACTCCATAAAAGGCTGAAACTCCATGGTTCGTACTCCGGGCTCATACTAATCCATTGTCCATTAGGTACTATATGCATCAGTCATACCCATAGATAATGTATTATCTATGCTCATACCACAGTCACTGTAATGTTAATCACTGTGATTATCTCCGATGCCTTATCGTAATGGCACAATACTTCAGCTACAGATAATATTATTATCTCTCTGGTGATCTCTGGTGATATGATTTTACGTTTGAGTAATTACTATTTATTAATTTATAGTATTGGTTTATTACTTATGAAATCGTGACTTGTGATTCTTGTTTCTCTTTGACTTGTCAAATTTACCAGACGTATTTAACTCTTTTAAAGTTAAAATATTTCTTATGGATATTATTTTGTTTAAATTTGAATCTTTTAATAGAAAATAGTTATATAACGAATATTGTTTTTCTTGTACTGCGTATAATTGCACTCAAAGATCAACTAAAGGAGTTTCTTTGCATAAGTAAGTAGCTACAAATCATTCTTAACTAAACATATTTTATTTATTTAAATGATTTAAAATTGAAATTAAAATCCTACCTTTTGTATCAAATATGAATTGTTAGTTCATTATTTTACTATAACTATTAACTACCTATTTATTATTTGTAGTTTTTCCAAAGATATGAAATCGAGAAGAAAACGGATCCAAGTTATGCGGAGGGATGGTTTTACTCCTAGCAAACAGTATAAACTTTCCAGTAAATATTTCACTAGTGACTGTTATGATCTAAGTTTTTGGAGTTCACAAAAAAAACTCAAAAAATGATGCAATCCCTTCAAATATTTGATTTCCTAACATATTTAAGAAAAACTTCTACTCCTGAAACAGACAAAATATTATTTCAAATAATATCACCAATGATTCAATACAGTAAATCTAATATAACTATTACTTTTAAAATGGCATATATTAATTAAAAATGTTACGAGTTTACTTTTTGAAACATAAAATACTTGTATATTTTTAGGAACATTAATGTTGATAATTTTAAATCAATCCTACTACCAAAGGTAAATAAAATGGTATATTGGAGATTTTAATGAAAACGATATGGTAATACCACAAAATAGTAAACAATTTTTGGAATAAATTAAAAGTAAACTTACTTCTAAACAGAAGACTATTAAAATGCCTCATAAATCCTAGTGTTGTAATATCTATTACCTATTTACCGTGTTCTGCTATAGTTTAATATTAATACTGTTTACAGGAGAAGAAAATAGTATAACAATATTCAAAGGAATAAGGAAGCTAGATTCAACATCATTTGTAAGTATAGTGCCTATAATACCTATATTATGATATAAGTATTTCAAATATTTGTTATAGTTGAATAATTATTGAAATTATAGTTTTTAAATCATATCATCCTCCAGTTAGATTAGGAACAGAAAAACTTACTCCAAGATAATTGAATTATGTGAAGACTGAAGTGGCCCAGACATAAATAATTTGTGTTGGTAATTTTGATTTTGATTTTTGAATACAAATAGAAAAAATTTCAAATAATGCTAATCCTATCGAAATTTAGGAAAATTACTCGAAAATGAAATTTGATTTCAAGTCAAGCTAGTTTGTTGAAAATGTTCTAGAGCCTTTTGGATTTGAAAACTATTAAGTATGTACCTTGTTGGGTCAATTTTTCTAATATGGTACTAAATTGAAAACAATAGTTTATTTTTAGATGTGTTACTCGGAGTAGATAGGCTTGATGAATTTCATTTAATTGATTTTGTTTCTGGTGAAAATCTAAAATGTTGAAATGAAGCCGGTACGCAACACCAGTAAGTATGATGTATTCATAATAATTTCATAATGCATGTGGCTATAGAATCCTTTCAACCAAATTAATATTACCAAATTTTTTATAATATTTCAGATGACCAAAAATCTGTATACCCAGGACACAACTATATGCAAGACTCTCATATTGACATGATGGATTGAAAGCCAAATGATGGAAAGAAAAGAAATTCTGTTATTTTTTGGAATATATGATTTGTGGTTCTACACTGTTACATCTGGGGTGTAAAAAGGCAATAATCAGTGTTCTAACACAAAATACTAATTTTATAAAATGTATATTTGATAATAAGTATATTCTGGCTACCCAGCTACTAAGTTAATAATATTTTTGATGTTCCGGATGCCCATAGAGTCCTAACTGAGTACTTGATATATTCTGTATTTATATTATAACCCGCCTAACACCCGGTTCCCGATTTGTTAGTAATTAATTGACCCAAAATACCGTTAATTAATAATATCAAGTGCTTTTTGGTTAAAAAATCCATACAGTTTTAAAATTCTCTCTGGTTTCCTTTTTTAATTAAAATATTGACCTAGTTTCTCTATGAATGCATCTTGTATTTTGATATATGATGTGATAATTTTCGAACAAATTATTAAATAGTTGGATATTACATTTAAAAAAAAATACCAATGTATTATTAGTTACTTTCAGAAGAAAAACAATCTAAACATTATTTATACAATTACAGTAGATACAGTGGAACCTTGATAAGTTAAAATAAATGCTGGTCCCTTGCGAAAACCTCAATTATTTAAAATAAATATAACTTAAGCATTCTGTGTTCTGAATATAGACATATAATGGCTGATAATTTTTTTAATAATTTGTCTAATTGGCTTGTGAGTCCCATAATTTATCCTAATTGTGTTTACTGTGTTTATTATCATATTTTTCATTTTATAATAAATTAATACTTTTAATAATTATTTAATCATTAATAATAAGTTGACTATATTATGTGCATTAATTTTAAAAACTTAAGTCTTAAGAATATTTTTCCTAAACCCTTGATAACACAAAAACTTTAATAAGTCAAAAAATTGCATTTCCTTTGAATTTTGACTTATAAAGGTTCCACTGTATTTAATAATATTTAAAAAAAAAAATTTTACTAATAGTATTTCTATGTCTATCTGTAGTATGTTGTATCTTTTAGTAACCTCCTCGGTGGGCAACTCACTTTAAATAAAAATTGTTTCGCTTTCATTATAATAAAATTATAAATGGATTTAACACTAGAGAAAGGTAACCTAGGGAACCTTTATTTTGACTTTTTCTAAGCTTTTTAAGTACATATTTCTAGGTCATGGAATAGTAAATAGGTAAATTTCCGCTAAACTTAGCTTGTCTCTAAAAAAAACACCAAAAAAAATCCTTATACTTTTTTTTAAAATTTAAATTAAATTTTATACATTAATACCTGAAGTTTTAGCATTTTATAATATAATAATATTTTTGTTTTTCTATTTTCTTTTTACTGTTTTGTTTATTGAACTCATTCAGGTGAAACAAATAAGTACAAATTACTAATGTTAACTGAACAGCAAAAGTTAGATCACCAATTTTACTTATAATAACAAAATATTGAATATTTTATAAGTATAATACTTATATTAAATAAAACTGGATTGGGCCAAAAATGAATTATACAGATTTCTATTCATTATAAATGTATAACTGACATTTAGTTGTTTGATTAAATGACTTTAATTAATAGTATATAATCATTCTAAAAAATCTCAAAATTACTACACTCAACAACATGCAATTCATGAAAACTTTATCTCACCATACTTGGGACTCAGAAAAAAATAGCCTTATAACTATCCGATGTATCCGTTGTATATCCGATGAATAGTTTTTAAGTAACAGCAATTTTAAATTCTACTAATCCGTGTGAAAACTGATGTTATCTAGAGAATAACCTATCCGTCTTTCACAATAATACGAAATATCTGGTTCCACCCAGGAATCAAAATACTTTTTAAATAACGTCAGAAAATATGCAAGCTTCAATATGACTTCATTTGGTGCAACAAGAAAAAAAAAACCAGGATATCAAACAACATCCAAAATACAAGGTCAAATTTATCATCGGATAGTTTATTTTCTTCCACATGATGGTGAATCATCATTTTTGCAAATATATTTTATTGACAATGATAAAATTCAATTACAACATAGATGCAAAGTTATTCTAAATATCGATCCCAGAATATTGTTACAATACTACAATTTTTACACAAACACAGCGAATTAATAAAACTTTTTTAGAAAATATGTCAACATGAATTTTAATTAACCAATAATAAATGAAATAGTTGTGGTCATAACTAGCAATGAATTTAGTAAACTCGATATTATATTGAAAAAAGGAAGTAATGAATATGTGAAAGTTCAAGAAACACATAAATCTTATGATACTTTATCATATCCATTAATTTTTTGGAAAAGAAGACGGATATCATTTCGAACCAAAACAGATAGATCAATTCAATCAATTCATCGTTGACATATATGCGAAAATTGAAAATGAATGTTTGCGTTATGTACAATGTAATCAATTAAAACTCAAAATTAATCAATATATTCATCTAAAAGAAGCATTTGAAAATGATGTTGATGTTGAAAATATAACATGTATTTACATTGAAAATAGTGTAAAAATAATATTTAAATGATTACATGATAAATGAAAAAAAAACAGATCGTATTCAATTAAAATCAACCGAGAAAATTGTTTGTTTATGATTAATGGATCAACATATACAGAGATAAAATAAGTTGAGGAGCTTTAAAGATAAGTCTGCACATAGTATAGTATCCAATTATTTGTTTAAAATTATGTTTCTACAAGGTTAAGTAATTCACCACTAGTTTATCTAAGTATTAATTATTATTATTTATTAAAAGAGATTGAATAATAAATTATTATTGAAAACTTATCATAGCTAGGTACCTTTTTTTATGTTATGGTAAAATGTGATTTTTTTTTTATGTTAACTGCCTATGAACTTCATTTTTCTTTTAGATTCAAAGTTTCATTTCTATAATTTATTTAATTATAAATTTATAAATGTTTTAATTATGAGTAGGTACTTGTTTAGTTGTTTATATAATATAATTTAAATAAATTTGTGAAAAAATACCACTGAAAAATTAAAGATTACCTACCTAATTACAATTAAGTTTGGTAAAAACACATTCTTATATAAAATCTGCCTTTTGTCTTAACAATTTTAAAATACTTTACATTGTAACATTAATAACATTTTACAGAAGGTACCTAATAGTTTGTTCCATTATGGCCACAAACTTTTAATGATACATTTTTGTGACAATTTTTTCGATTTTTATGTAGGTACCTAATTAAAACTATTTCTTGATTCTTTTTTAATTATAATAATTACCTATTGATATGGTATTATAAAGTTGCCTACTTATGAAGTAGTAGTAAAAAAATCTATAGGTATATATTATGTTTTACTATATTTACTAAAAATTATAATCTGGAGTACCTATATTCATAAATATTATGTACTTTATATAAAAAATCTTTTAAGTTGACCCGTAAATTAATATTTACAAATACAAATTAATATTAATATTAAAACTTGGTGTCACCTTCTAATTTTTTTGTATTAAAACATAAAATTGATGTTTTTGAAGATCTCCGTACAGTATTATATGCTGAATATCAAAAGAAGAACAAAGAAAATCAGATGTCTGAATTAGAATTTTTCAAATATTCATTTAAAAATTCTCTGGAAGAAATTAATTCTTTATGTATGTATAATTGAACAATAAAATGTTAAAATATTGTCATTATATTTTATGATAATCAAGGTTCATAACTTATATCTCTAAAAATAGCTGTTATAGGTACAATAATATGGTCATAAAAACATTCATCTAAACACTTAAATATGCACTAACAATGCTAAAATATCATAAACACATAATGTCTCACAAAATAGAAAAAAAAGTACAAGTTATGAGTCCAAAAGATAACATATAATCAGGGATTTAATAAACCTAATTTGTTGAAAATTCTAGCTGATGAAATTGGAAGTGATTTTAATATTTATAAAACTTTAAATACATACAAAATGATTTAATAATGTACAATATGTATTACAAATAATAATTAAAATTATTTATAACTAGTAAAACATGTATTTTTCTAGATAATATTAAAAATTCAAGAAAAGACTATGACAGAAAGCGTTGTAAGTTAATTAAATATATTAAATACAACAGTAAGTATTATTTAATACGTATTACTACATTATACAACTATGTTTATTATATTTTTTATTTATGATAAGTATTATTTTATTATCACCAAACTATTAATACCTTTGCTCCTCTACAAATATTTTGGCTACAATTCATTTAGGTACCTAACTAAAAAATAATAGTATTTACCTAACCACCTAATGGATTGAATAGAGTGTTTATGTAAAATCTAATATCTCTTAGTACCTTAGTAACAATCAAAATTTTACCTCAAAATTACCATTCCAGCATACTTTTAAATTATTTATAATTTTTGTAATTATTAATAACATTTTTACCTATATTTATTTTCTTAATTTTTCATAGTTTAATGATTATGAACAATTTATTATCTACAAGTACTCTTAACTGGTACATTCAAAAAAATAATAAATATCAAAAATTTAACTTGTTTGAAATTACAAATGAAATACAATTAATGACATCATCAATAGTTTTTCTTTTATTTCTCCAGTATCATTTTATAAACAAATTTCAGAAACATTATGAATAGGTATTTAATTTACTAATTTACATGATTATATATTTAAGTTTTTACAAATATTATTATTATATTTACACTTCTTCAATAATGGTAAGACATGTTAAAAATCCTAATAATTTTAACCAGTTTGGTTCAGGAATATTATGGACATTAGTATGAGGATATTCCGTCATTAATTATAGAACCTTTGAAGGTAAGTATTGTATGGCATTTAATATTACAACCTTTATTTCATGTCACATTTTCTTTGAGTCACATTAGTGGTATAACCATATTAAAATGAATGTTTTGGATGACAACATTAAAAATTAGATTTCTAAATTAAAATTATTCATTTCATATAAATATTGTATGCAAGTTATGAATACTTTACGTCAAGTAACTATGTAAAAATTGTTTAAATTACTATCATAATTATAATGAATCAAATAAAATGTATGTATAGTGTATAGGTACTTATATATTTGGGGATCATCTTTTAACTTGGCTTTCAGCTCCCATACACGGTTAGTCATGAATGACAATCAACGTGATTGACAGTAAAGACTGACAATTGATAATTACCATATACAGTCAATCAAGACTGACAATCTTTAGTCATTCGGTTATTTTATTTTAGTCAACACAATTATTACTATTGAAAGCGTAGTGTATCGTGTAGTTGTTATTCAATATTTATTGAAAAAATTAAAAATATTTTCAAATTAAATTTAAAAATAAACTGCATTAAAATGAATTTTTGTACAAATCACTTTATTTTTCACGCAGCAAGTAAACTACGGTATGAACTTATAAATTCGCGCCAAAAATTCTTCATTATTTACCTATTTGCCATTTTTAGACGAAGATATGAAATGATCGAAAGACAAGAAAGACACAACTGCTCCACACAATTCGACTTGATTGACTGATAAATTGTTCATTCATAGACATACACAATCAATTATGAATTTCAATCATCTTTAGTCTTAACTGATGATAAACATGTTTGAATTTCATCAGTCATAAAATTTGATTGTCAGTCATTATCAATCGTACACATCCACGGTCAGTCTTGAATGACGGTCATGATTGACCGTATATGGGGAAGGGGAATTGGTGATGTCACGAAATGTCATAATAATAATAATGACAGTAGGTAATACGACTGATAATGAACGGAGATAATCAGAACATTTAATTTGTGTGCACAATTTTATTATAACACATAATGTTCATAAATAATTAGTACAAAAGAACCAAATAAAAATCGGGAAAATATTAAACAAATTTTATCAAAGACAATATATGATGCCTATTAAATTTTTCAACCCAAAATGACGTATATTTTGTTGACGAACCATCACTATTAACCAAATTTCGCTCGACACTCAAAATCGTTTTTCGTTAACAATGATTATTCATTGCGTACAGATATAGGTACATTCAATTTCCCCTATACCTATTATAGGTATATTTCATTTTCTATGTTTCAAAAATTAAGTGTTTTACATATATATATATTAGTATTAAACAAGCGATTCTGTTATTATTACAATATCTGGTTATCTTGTTAGTGAAACTCAAATTACCTACCTAGATATATAAACCCGAGGACCGATTATCGTTGGAGTACAAAATTACGACGGTGGCCGATTGTCCGCATAGGTACGTCGTTTTATCGTGGGGACTGATATTGTCTGTGTACTAGTTACGACACCCAATACCCCCCCATTGGCTATGCCACTGAATACAGACGGAAGTGCGAAATAATTAAGGAAATAGGTATTGAATGAGAATCGATGAACCACCAAAGGAAAAAACAAGTACCTAGATTGGAATCTATTGTTTTTCTTAAAACTTCGTATTATATAGTAGGTAGGCAACAATGGTTATAGTGTAACAAGCGTCCATTGAAACCCAGAAGACTGGAATTATACTGCGTACCTACGTCCTGGTTCCGAAACAATTTTCCACTTTCACGAAGTCAAATCAGATACCTGCTATAGATTTCATTAAGCAAAAAACAATCGAATATCGATTGATTTTTTTATACTGTTATTAGTTGTTAACCCAATAATACCGCCGATCATTTGTACGATCATTAATTTTACATTAGTATTTATTATTATTATCATTAATCATTATGGAAAAACGCAAATATTAACGGAAAAAATTGTTTTTTATAATAAATCTGTGGTAATTCTAACTCCGAATACAAATTTCAATTAGCGTTTCGCGAAATATCGATATCAAACTAGTAAACCACAGCTCGCATATCGATAGTGGCCGATAGTTGATTGCGATGAAATACTGCGTTTCAGATTTAATGATAACAAAAATCATTACTCAACCCACGGCTGGTCCGTTGTCTGTACTCTGTGTTAGTGAGTTTGTTTAGTTTGTTGTGCAATCTGATTAATTTACGTTATTCGTTTTCCCGTTGTCTCCGTCTGAAGGTGTTTTTCGTCGTTGAAGTAAGTTTTTTATCGACACACATAACGCTATTTGGGTACTTGGAATACATTGTAGTATTATTTAGAACGGTATTGATGTTCATTGTTCGTTGTCCGATAATTCGAACATCTAATTTACATAATTGCACACTTTATGGTGACCCGACGTTCGACACCACCTTAGTAATCGGAACACGTTTTTATTACCTAACCTTAATAGTTTACCTAGGTTCTTACGTTTCGCATTTTATTAATTACCGACGATCTCAACATTAAAGGAGTAGTAATATCAATATCTGATGACAATATTGTTTGTCTATAATAGCCTTATAACATTATCATAACGCGACGATGTTTACTTGAAAATCGGACACTGCATAACGATGAATGTTACGTCCATATAAATGCATTGTTTTTTTTGGTTTCGAGCTTGATTCTGGCTCTCATATTGAAAATTGTGGTGACCGAATAGTTATTTTCAGTTCTGTTGAAAATGTTTGTTTGCGTTACTAGTTTGCTGTTTTCTAGAAACAACATTCAATGATTCTAGTCTATTTTGTACTCTTAATTGACCTATGGTGTTGTTGTGAATATATACACAGCTGACGACTCACCAATTTAAACGTGTTCAGTGTAAGAACAGTCATTTTGCATCAGTTTGTTCATTTCAGGTTTTATATTAAATACACACTCTCTGTGTGACTTGGAACACTCTCTTTAGCTAAACATAAGCGCTCACTTTATTAAAAGTGCTCTACAATATCAAATTCTGTTCATGGATCGTTAAATATTCTAATTTTTTCTTATAATACTAATGGTATTGAAAATTAGCTGCTATGAATGTTAATTGCTAATATTAATCTACAGTGCAGTTAAGGTTTATTTGATTACTTTTATTTACTGTTACTTATTATATTAGCATTGCCTTTTTCATATTTTTCTTATTTTATCATTATATTTTTAAGAGGTGCACGCCCATATAGTATATACCTAATAAAATAAAACAATGTATATTCACTTCTTACTACGATTGTTTACTGAATCAATTACATAACCAAACAATATTACTTCTCTCATTAGTCCAACTTTAACTATAACTTTTATAAAAAAAAAAAAAAATTAAGGTTTAGAATGATTAGAAAATTATTTGTGAAAATTAACATTTATTTCTAAAACCATATTAGCTTTGTTCATTTCAACAAAAAAAATACATTTTTCAGTTTTTTATATACACTGTGTAGATTTGATTATGTGACACCTACACATTGAGTGTATTCATTACCAAAAGTATACCTTTTTTTTTTTTTTTTAACAAATATAGTTATTTGATTTTGTCAAATACACTCTGATATTAAACATAGATTTTTAGAATTATTATAGCATTAACAATTCTAAAAAAAGTGTCGTAGCAAGTCTATAATTATGTTTATCATTCATTCAAAAACATTTTTCATTTAGTATAATATGGGCTTCAAAATTTTATTTTTTAGTAGTAGCAAAATAACTTACTTATCTTTAAAAGAATTATTGAACATTAAATTAGTTATAGGTATCTTCTTAAGTTTTTAGGAATAAATATTATATTTTATTTAGTTCTATAATTAAATTATTTTCCTCAAAACCAAAAATTAAATTTTTAATATTGAATAAAGCAATTTCAATGCATTTATCAAAAAGAGTACATTTTATTAAAATTCCAAATATTTGAAATTAGCTAATAATTATGAATCAATCATTTATTATTTTTATAATACAGTAGATCAATACAACGAGATCGGTCATAGTGGGAGTCACAATGAAAACATGAAATAACAACTGTATGTGAGCATACCTATATATTATTAATTATTTTTATAGGTGTATACAATTAATATTTAGTTGAAAGGTCTGTGACCTGTTTTTTGTTTTAAAATATGCTTTATAAGAAATACACATGCCTTGTAGAGTGAACTGATTTTAATAGTATTTTTCTTGTTGAAAAAAAGACTGTAGACAGAGTTCCAGGGCTTATTCTAAGGATTTTTTTCATTTAATTAATGATTTAACTTAAATAAGCCTCACCTATAGAAAAAGAACCATGATCTCAAAATGTAATATCAAATTATAGATAGAAATGGTAATGTTATTTGCTTTTTGGTATAATATTTTAAAATTTAACCTTTAGTTAGAAATAAAACAATAAACATACGTGTTTAAAATAAATTATTTTAATTTATAATATCATCTTTACTTTTTCATAATAATTTTATACATAATGTTTTAAAACATTATATTTTCAGTTTACTCATCTAAAGATTTTATTTTTGTTGGTCCCATAGAAATCCCATTGAACCAATTTTGTTCTTTAGCTTTAGGTATGTCTTTGATGGGTCATTCATTTTGGTTTAACCTTAAGTAACTATATTGCTGGTTTGGGTTCCAATTTTGAATAGTAGGCTTGATTAATTGAATAAAAACATATTCATTTACTGTTTCTATATTTAAACCTTGCCGATTATTTAATTTAAGAATATTGCTTCAGCACTAGGGGCAGTATTATAAAATGTAATATATATTACCAGAATAATATTCGGTATGAAAATGTATTTTATTTTCATATAATAATATTTTTTTAGAGGTATAAAATACCTATAATGATGATAACACTGTCAAACTCATATTATCATCTGTTGACCACTGAATGCAAATATACACAATTATATACTTGATGTAGATCTTCTCTATATTATGACTATATACTAGATGCCCGACTCATGCCCATACTTGAAGCCAATAGTCATAATGTCAATTGGGCAATGTTTACAAGCCGATGTTGTCAATCTTAATGATAACTAATAAAATTATAATAATATAAAATATATTGATATTATATTATTATTTTCTATGTTAAAATAGTATTTAAATTTTAAATTAAATGTGGACTGTATTGTATTTAAAACTTAATTTCTGATGATTTGTAATTATGTTGTTATAATAATATTGATAACCGATTGTAAAAATTGCCCAACCTACTTGGCTTCTAAAAACCATACACTGTAAAATATAGATAAATATATGTATATCTGTGTCACTGAACCATGGTGTTATGATCTTTATTAAGCCTATATTATAAAGTACTTAATTCATATTATCGAAATTTGGAGTGTTGTGCATTCAGTATTATCTATAACCACAGTATCTACTATAGCCATCAAAGTGAATTCATATTAATTAATCCACCTTCATAGACATATTACCTATATTAATATTTAATGTCTATAGTTATTACCTAACCTTTGCTACTAATTTTATTCAATTACATTTTTATTTACAAGCTATTGATAATATACATATTTAATACCTATTTTAAATTGCATTGTTTAATTATAAGCTTTTTTTTTTCATTTGTGTCACCTAAATAAATAAATAAATAAATAAATAAATAAATAATAAAACAAATTTAAATTATAAAACCAAAAATTATGTATCCTCAAATTATTGAACTCCAAAATACAAAGTGTAAATTATGCTCTAGAATATCTCATAGTGAATGTCCGATTGAAATTGGTTTAGCAGTTTCTTAAATTAGCCTAACTCTTTAGTGTTATTTATATCATTATATCTATAGACTATCTGGCGTTACTTGGATTCACCCAGGTGATGATTCAATAATTTTTCCATAATGATATTTTAAAATTATTGTGATTTTAGATTTTGAGCAAAATGAGGAATGTATTGATTTCTTTTTTGTGTTTGTATATAGTTTTTTTACCAAAAATCATACTCTAATCGAACAATTTATAGGAACTTTCTTGTAGAATTTTTGATCTAATTAGAGCATTAGAAGGTCATTTTTTAATTTCCCTTGTAGTTTTTTTAATACTTTGGGAAAACTGGTAATTATTGTTGATTCCTTGGTTACTTAGGCAACAAAGAAACTAATAAGATAATCTAGATTTTAAGAAAACAATTCAATTTTCATATTATACCAAAAATCGTGTCTATCCACATCCATGTACACATGTTAAAAATCCTGTGTATGATGAATTTGATTGCGGATCAACTACAGACATACAAATACTTTATTATGTTATAATAAATTATCTATGTAAAATTCACATCACATAATATAAATCACCATATTTATTTATTATTTTTAATATTTGTTTTCATTTTTCAATACAGATTTATTTTTATTGAAAATAAGAAGCCATGTCAACTCCTGCTAGGCGTAGATTGATGCGAGATTTCAAAAAATTGCAAGAAGATCCCCCAGTTGGTATCAGTGGAACTCCAACAGATAATAATATTATGTTGTGGAAAGCTGTTATATTTGGGCCTCATGATACTCCTTTCGAGGATGGCACATTCAAATTGACAATTGAATTTACTGAAGAGTACCCTAACAAGCCGCCAACTGTGAGATTTATATCCAAGATGTTCCATCCAAATGTTTATGCAGATGGAGGTATTTGCCTTGATATATTGCAAAACCGTTGGAGTCCTACATATGATGTTGCTGCAATCTTAACATCTATTCAGTCTCTTCTTAGTGATCCTAATCCTAACTCTCCGGCTAATTCTTTGGCTGCTCAATTGTACAAGGAAAACCGTAGAGAGTATGAAAAACGAGTTAAAACATGCGTTGAGCAGAGTTTTATTGACTAAAAAAGAAAGATATTTACTAGTCTTAAAAAAAAAAATAATAATTCAGTCTTGAGTATATTGATTGGTTTTAATATTTAGTTTTTTAAAATTTTATTCCAGTGACAAAAATTCTTTTTTCTTATTTTGTTTTTACATAGACTATTGTCTTAGGTTTATTATTATAATTTTTTTTTGCTAATGAGATATACCTTAATGCATTATGCATATTTATATTATTTATGTAGACACAAGTGAAATTAAAAATTTGTTATTATTAAGAAATATTAATTATAGTAGTAACCTTATAAATATGATTTGTGTAAGTTCCCAATGTCTTTTTTATTTGTATTTTTTTTAAGTTTAACTATCTTGCAACAGTTTATATATTCAAATTTTAAGTTATGTTTAATTTTATAATTTTTATCATTATTTTTTCATGCTTGTGTCATAAAATTTATTCGATTAGAATTTGGTAATTAATTGATTTTTCAGTTGAACCTTACGTTTATAAATAATATCTAATACATCATAGACGCTACTATTGAATATTTCAAGAATTATATGTAATTAGTCTTAGTGTAAGATCTAAATCATTTGTAACCATTAACTTGATTCAAGTATGAAAATAAAACATAAAAATATTGTTAAAGTGTATACCATTATATTTATAATTATTTATTATTTATTTGTTCAGAGGACATGATACTATCATTTACTGTCTGTGGTATCTAACAGGCAATCATAGCGAAATTGTGTATTCATACTTCCAACAGTATTTATACTCTTAATGGACTTAAAATAAAAATTATTTCACCAAATCAAAGATAACAATATTTACCAATTCTTCATAGAGGGATTTTTTTTAAAAATTTTTATATATGATTAATAAATTGCCTATAATGAAAATATCCCATTGTAAAAATAGTAAATCAAATGTTATTAATAATTCTGTTAAAAAATTGTTTGTATTTGTTTATTTCAGTATTAGCATATTTCTTATTTTATTTAATTGTGTTCATAAATAACTAGTTAATTACTTAGTTGGTTTAATTTAGTTTATTGCCTATTTTAGATTATTTATTAACTTCATTAATATTAATTAACAGTATCAAAAATGCAATTAAAAGTTGCTAGTTACTATTAGTCCTTAATTATCTGAAGTCATCCATGAAAATATGTACTATAAATGATAGCCACCTGTTTAAAAATGATTTTAATGTTTTGGTTATGTGCTTATAGTGTTGAGCTAGAGTTTAATGTCACCAAGTCCCACTCAATGTCCTTTCATAGAAATCATGTTCATCTGGAATTAATTTACTTTTTGTTTGGTTCTGTTCTTATCAATCTAGGTAATCCAGTTAATAAATAATAAAATTAGGATTCTATTTGAACTTCAGGTTCATATTAAAGCAGTGTGCTACAACTTTACAAGATTTTAAAAATAATTAGATTTTTAAAACAAACTTTCAACAAATTAAAATTTTTAATTCCCTTAAAGCTTTGTACTGTACCAATATCGTTAGGTGACAAAGAGTAGCCCACATTTTTGTTCTGCTGCTTATTTATTGAAAATTAACCACCACCCTCATAAGTGTGATCTGGTATCGAATACTCTACTTTTGGAATCCATGACTGATAAGCGAATAATTGCTAACCAGTTATTTCTGTGGAAGCTGATCGACTGTCTCACACATCTAAGTCAAGTTTCTTTTATAATGCTTTACTTTAAGTCCAGATCACCATATCCCTTCCACCATTGAGCCCTGTACTAGAACCTAATAGATACAGAACACCTAATAGATTTAATAAAACATAGGTTGTAGTTATTAGTATTCAATTAATATTATATCCATAAGATCTCAATTATATTATTATATTATTATTCTGTATTTGTTAGCATTACATTTATATCCAATTTTGTAAATAAGGAAAAGTAGCACAGATGTAGAGAGTGATACGAGGACTTATATATGTATCATATACTTATATCAAGTAATTGAGAATACTTAGGTATAATTTTTTCCCAATTATTATGAAAACCTATTGGAAAATCAAAAAATGATAAAATTTTCTTTCAGTGTTCATTCAACAAAGTCCACAATAATCATATAATAATATATACATAACATATATAAATAACACCATAACAGAATAACATCATATAGTAAATAATTAAAATTAAAATAGAATTTTAAAAATGGGTTAAAAAATTAATTTTTTGGTGTTGGTTAAGCAACTTTAACTTTTTAAACTAGTAGCAGTACAATTACGGCAATTTCGGGCGTAATCGATTAATTTACGATAAAATTACATAGGTAATCAATTACGGTTAATTTTTCAAATTACATTGGTTATTAATTGTATTTTATCATTTTTCAGAGTAATCAATAATCATGATTAAATATTTGTAATCATCATTATTGCCAAATTTAACTACTACTATATTATTCATTATACAATTGTACAATGTATAATGTACATACCTACAGTACTGTGTCAACCATCATTAGCGCCCTAGGGTAGTCATCGTATTATGTTTAGTGTCTAAAGTTGATATCAATCTAAAATTTGATACTCCATACATTTATAGCGCCTCTTAATGCCATAGGACAGTTTCTATGAGGGAGGTCTCTTAAAACGGCCCTGTATGGTAAACCAATAATACATCATACATGTCAATAACCGTAGTAAGTAAGAATTATTTAGATGATAATGGAATAAAATGTTAATTGTAATTACAGTGAAACCTTCGCTAACGGACATCTCCCAATAGAGGACGTATTTTTGGGGACGGGAAGATGTTCACTACTATTCAATTGGAAAACCATCTAATAGTGAAATAATGAATATCTCAAAATATAGTTGTTATTCATTAAAAATTAATCATGATTACAAATTTAAGTATTATGTGATCGTAATAAATACTATGATTACATTATTTCTTTAATCATTTAAAATATTTTTTTATTGTGATTTTTTGATTATATTAATAAACACTCGGTATTAGAATACCAATTTGATCACAGGCGACTATGTTACCAATGTTATCTATCTCAGTGACAACTACAAATTTTATTCGTAATCTTCAATCATTAATCAGATTACGATTTGCCCAACACTGAATTACAGGAGTTGAATAGGCAATATTGTATATAAATTTGAGAACCACTTCGTATTAAATATTGCTAACGGAACGTACGTCAAATTTACTTTGTAGAGAATTCATAGATTAGAATGATTAGAATGACAGTATTACAGTAATCGCTATTTTTAAAATCATTTTACAATATTTCGCAATTAGAACAATATTTGGGAAAATGTTAAATCAACTTATGAGCTTTTAGGTAAGTGTAAATTGATATTAATTTTATACAATTGGTGTACCTACCTATAATCACGATGTATTTATAATGTATCTTAATTCGTGTATATAGTATATTGAATTTATTGATTAAAGGTATATTGTATACTGACAATTTTTGCTTTCTTTAATCTGAACATATGAAGACATTTTCAAATTATATTCAATGGTTCACTGCTTGTAATTATAACCTTTTAAATATCAAGTATCTGTATTATTGTTAAAAAATAAAAATAAATTTAATAAGTTGAAAATGCTTAAAAAATATTAACATGAAATTGCCATAATTATTATTATTATTAGTTGTTTAACGGGCAACATTCTTGTACTTAATATTTCCGGTGATTGCTGAATTAATGTCTATCGCAGACAGCAAAAGTTATTAAAGCAAAAATAATTTTAAATTAGTAAAATATTAATTTTAATACATTCAAATACAATCTATAACATTATTTAATAGATTTAGTCAAACAATTATTGTGCATAAATTAAAACTAAGAGTTTTTTTTTACGATTAGAATCAAAGCACTTGCTCATAAACAAAGAGAATGTAGCTATTCCCAATGCATTATTAGCATGATCTACATTAAAAGATGCTGTAAAATATTGAAATTAATAATTGATAAATAATTTAACTGTTATGAAATATGCACATTACCTATTTCATTCGTTCATTTTAAAATTAGGGCAATTCAGTGAATAATTATTTGAGCCGCAGTAGATACTTTGATTTTTTTTATTTGATGTATGACAACATATTCTGCCTTATAACCCATATCATCATTACTTTTGTCAGCAAAGTATATATTTTGTATGCATTTCTATAATGCTGTATACTCTGTATTATTTAAAGTAAATTTAAAAACTTTAGTTTGTAAATTATTTCATATGCACTTCAGTAAATATAGTGGATCATATATATATATATATATATATATATATGTACAATTTTATGTTTATTTATTATATATCCTTGACTATAGTTTTTTTATAGTTGACTCATAAATTATATTTCTGTTTCATATTTTAATATATTATAATTGCAGGAACATTAATTTTTCCTTGGTCTGATAAAGAAGCAACCAGGTTTAGTCCTGTTATACACTATGGACGATGCAAGAGAAAAAAACTCAAACGATTGCAATAAAACAAGGATGAGCATAGTAAAAATGCAGAGTATAATACAGAAATGAAGAATAATTAACATTTGTATTTATTCTTAAAATACTTTCAGGTTCCAATCCCAAAGCAAATCGTGTGGGCTCTTCTCCTTGGTTATCCCTGTCAGAAGACATTACAACACATTACATTCCAATATGGAGGCATTCACTAGACTTCACATGAGCAGTGTTAAACCAAGTGGCAAGCCTACCTAGTTTGATTTCATTTTAGTACCGTATGTTCTGAAAATAGTTCTTTGTTTTAAAATTAATTTGGTTTTGTTTTTTAGATCCATAGGGCCACCAAGGAGGTCCTAGGCATTGCTGGGAGTGATAAATGCTTTAATATTTTAACTGTCAGACGGAAGTATGGACAGTAAAAAAGTGTGTGTTCCATGTCTACCTGTACTTTCAGTAGAGACAGGGAATTTTACTAGATCTCAGGTGAGCAGTGTTTAACCTGTCAGTTTTCGCGATGATTTTCATAACACTGTTAGGCGTGTGTGAGCGCGGCACTCTTTATACCTGTTTTGTTAATTTTGCAAATTAATTTTGTTAGAATAAGTTAAAAATCATAAATTCAAGTTTGTGGTTGTCAGTGAAATAAAAATAATGCATTAAAATTAAAACACTTTTATTTTTTTTATAATGATTAAAAATAATATCTTAATATCTTTTTAAATTAATTAAAGTATAAACATTAATAATATTTTGTAATATCTTATAAACAATATTAAAATTAGTAATGATAAATATAGTAATTCGTCAGACTGACAAAAATCAGTTATTCGTGACTAATGAATTCAACATTTAATAGAAAGCAGAAACATTGATAAAATCAAACATTTAATTTTGTCTATATTTGTACATATGTTAATAAAAGGTATTTAAAGATTCACATGAAATACCCCAGAAACAAGCCTGTGGTGCCTATACTTGTTTAAATATGAGCATAGCGCTCTCATCGCGACATGATGGGTTAACTAAGTGGCAAGCATACTGTTTACAATTCAATTTAAATACTATTAAATATAATTTTTATAATTTTATATAATAAAGTAATTTTGTGGTTTATTTTTTTAAATCCCCTACTAACAGTAGTGTTATCTTAAACAGCTATGGAGTTGCTGCACAAGTTTTGTCTATCGATCAACTAAGGCCGATTGTTTCACCAGTCATCATGGTTCATGATAAAATCCATCTTGAATGTGAGCTACTGCATGCCTACCACCAGGAGCTGAACTGCCATATAAGGGAGAATGAAATTGCTCCAATAACCTCATACCATAATGATGTTTACCAGTGGTTTTGAAATTGAGGTTAAAAACTTCAAAGTTGGGCACAAGTTAAATCTTTTTAACATAGGTACTAAAAATACTTCTATTAATAGTTTTAAGCTCTTTCCTTTTAATTATATTCCCTCAATATTTTATAAAAATGTACATAGGTCTAAACCAGCGGTTCCCAACCTTTTTGAGACTATTGCCCATAAATCAGGTTAGACATTAACAAATAACCCTAACTCAAAAAAAAAAATTGAGTAAAAAAAAACAAAAACAAAATATACATTATATTCATAGTTTATTTTAATTTATTAAACGAAAAAAACAAACATTTTGTTTATTTTACAAGCAATGAGTAATGGAATGTTAGTTAATGAGATGGTTGATATTGCTTATTTCTAACAATTAGTTTAATATTTGGTTCAGTTTCGGCCAATGCACATTTTATGTTGTGTTCCAAGTTCAATCGGTTTCTTGCTTTTGTTTTCATTGTTACCATTGTTAACCCATTTTCATACTTGGAAAAAGGATCAGTATTTTCAAGGCTTTTTCCGATAATAATGTATAGTTAAAACCATTAAATTAAATATTGATATAATTTTTTATTGATAGGATATCTAATGTAAACTTGTTATATCAAAAATAATTCCAAGAAATCCAAGATAATAATAAATACCATAAAAACTAAAACATCTGAAGTATAATATTATAAATATTTTTTGAAGGTAATAAAATTATGTAGGAAAATAAATTAAAGGTGGTATATTTCCTAATTAAAATAAAATAATAATAATTGAGCTCAAACAAAAACTATACTAACTCTCACAAACTCAATGAAACACACAAAACTCTTTATTAATCGACATAATACTGTCGTTTTGATTTCTTTCGCTTAACTGGCCCACCATGGCGACTCTCAGTCAACGATGTGCATTTTGTTTTATCATATAAACACATGTACAAACATGCACACACACATACACATATTTATCTGAAACAAAAATTGGAAAACCGAAAACAGATCTCACAATTATCAGCATCATTAAAACATAGGGTAATTCCCAAAACTATTAATGACAATTATATTATTACAATTACTATTACAATCTTAGTACACATAACTGTTGCAGGGTTAATAATAATAGATATAAAGTATATAAAATAAAAAAAAATTAGTTTGATCTTTTCCTCCCAAAAAATCGTGTTTTACCCCTTGGGGGTTAATTACCCTCAGATTGGGAACCGTTGGTCTAAACCAATTATATTTTAGTATAATATAAATTTTCATAATTTTGAGCATTGATAAGAATGTATGTTCATTATACGAGTTTTACTTGTAATTAAAAATTGTCTAAACAGTATAATATTTTTTTTGATTGTTTGTAAAATGAGTTAAATTATTTCATTTACTTAGACACTTAATGTTATAGTTCATTAACTTAAGAGAGAAATGCAATAATTACTGATAAGCAGATTAACCAAGTTTATGTATAATTAAAATATGCCCATATTTATTATTATTAGATAAAATTATGTAAATTAATTGAGATAAGTTAAATAAAATTTCATTTTGTTTAAAAATACATTTTGATCATTGATCTTAAAACTTTCAATATACTCAACTAAAAATATTAATATTAAAATAATCAAATATAAATTAAGCAACTACCTTGTTACCTAGTTATCTATAAATAATTAATTTAATTTAATTAAGACCATCAATACTATAATAAAATAATTGTTATAATTTATCAATATTATGTATTATGTAGTATAACTGTGTACGTGTTTAATCCTTATAAGTAAAGACCAGATTTATATCTTCTTCTTCTTTTGGGTTAATTCTGCCGCTAGGACCATCGTATCTCAAAACCAGTTCTCCAGCCCTCTCTATTCATCGCTAAATTCTTCCAGTTTGCTTCGCCTCCTAAGTCTTTTACATCTCTCTTAACCATATCTCCACATCTCAATTTTGGTCTATGTAGAATACTTTTTCAGTGTTTATTAAAATTTTTAATTGTATTTCGTAATTTTAAAGTGAAATTGAAGTTGAAACTATAGGTAAATACTAAATAGTTAATTTAAAATTTGTAAACTAAAAAGTATAATAAAATAAGAATAAATTTGATTTTTACTTTTAATATATTTTGAATTATACTGTAAAAACAAAGTAATTAATATTTTAGTAATCTAGTTTAGTAAATAAATTGTTAATATGAAAAAAGTACAAAAATGTAGTAAGTATGTTAATTGGAAAAACAATATATTATTAAAGTGTATTCAGAGTTTAATTTTGTAAAGTTAGGTCACTACTTGTAAGAATATACTTTTAAGATGATGAACTACATTCAACATCAACACTGGTTATTAGTTAAGAAAATTAGAAAATACATCTGATGAATAATTAGGAACAGGCAAATTGTTAAAAATAATATTTTCACCTAGAAGTATAAGAACAACATCATCTACCGTGATTTGAAAATGTCATCTGTGCAGGATGAAATTACCCGATTTGCTCGCAAACATGCAAGAAAACTGGAGCTCCTCACAAATACGGCTGCCATAAAACTGCGTAACAACTCGCAGGACATCAAGACACATCTTTGACAAAGTTTGGCACCAAGGCCTATTGTTAAAACTACGCGAGCAGCTTCTGCACACATGGTGCACACACCTCAAATCATATCTGACTGAAAGACATTTTCGCGTTAGATACGAAGGAACGATGACTAATTGGAAGACTATATTAGCTGGAGTACTTCAAGGTAGCGTTCTCGGACTTATTTTGTACGGACTTATTTTGTACCTACTCTATACAGCTAATATTCCAACTAACGACAATACAATGATAGCTATGTTCGTCATACTGCAATACTATCAACAAGGAAGGACCAACAAGCTGCGACTGAGATCCTACAAACGACAATCAACACTGTACACAACTGGACGAAACGATAGAAATAAAAATGAATGGAGATAAGTTGGTGCACGTTAACTCCGCCTTACATATAACCACATACATCCCAGTCATGCTAAATCAACAGATAATTCCGCAAAATAATTCAGCTAAATATCTGGGAATGCACCTTGACTCACAATTTAACTGGAAACATCATGTATACCAGAAAAAGTTGCAAATCAAACAAAAAATGCACAAACTGTTCTGGTTAGTTGGACGACACTCCGAGCTAAACTTAACCAGCAAACGTCTCTTGTATATATCGATTGTTAAAGCGATTTGGATTTATGGTATTCAACTGTGGGGTTGTGTCATTAAGTCCAATATCGGCAAAATACAACGATGCCAGCGCATCGCTTTTCATACAATTGTCGCAGCATATCGGTATAATAAGAACATCATCCTCCGCGATTTGAAAATGTTATCCGTGTAGGATGAAATTACCCGATTTGCTCGCAAACATGCAAGAAAACTGGAGCTCCACACAAATATGGCTGCCATACAACTGCGTAACAATTCGCAGGACATCAAGACACAGAAATACTATCAACAAGGAAGGACCAACAATCTGCGACTGAGATCCTACAAACGACAATCAACACCGTATACAACTGGACAAAACCATGGAAAATAAAAATCAATGGATATAAGTCAGTACACATTAACTACACCTTATGTAAAACCACACTCATCCCAGTCACGTTAAATCAGCAGATTATTTCGCAAAATGATTCAGCTAAATATCTGGGAATGCACCTTGACTCACGACTTAACTGAAAACATCATGTATACTAGAAAAAGTTGCAAATCAAATAAAAAATGTACAAACTGTACTGGTTAGTTGGACTAAACTCCGAGCTAAACTTAACCAGCAAACGTCTCTTGTATATATCGATTGTTAAAGCGATTTGGATTTATGGTATTCAACTGTGGGGTTGTGTCATTAAGTCCAATATCGGCAAAATACAACGATGCCAGCGCATCACTTTTCATACAATTGTCGCAGCATATCGGTATGATAAGAAGGACACCATCCACCGCGATTTAAAAATGTCATCCATGCAGGTTGAAATTACCCGATTTGCTCGCAAACATGCAAGAAAACTGGAGCTCCACAAAAATATGGCTGCCATACAACTCGCAGGACACCAGATGACTGAAACGATTGAAGCCATTTGATTTAGTCTAATTATTAGATCAAGATTGGGGCTGCTTCACTGGAAGTAAAACCCCACACATGTTTTGTGTATATATATATATATTGCATTGTATGTATCAACTTCTGTTGATTTATATTTATTAAGATCTTTTTATTGTTTAAATAAAAAAAATGCCTTTAGGCAATTTAGAAAAAAAAAACCTAGAAGTATTTTCAAAATTTGTTTAAAACCATTAATTCTTTATTTTTACTTAAAACATTTTTACATTTTGATGTAATTATTGTACTATTTGTGCTGGTATAAAGTTTATTTATAGAATTGTAAAAATTTTAATGTGTCTAAAAATGAAAAATTAATAGTTGCAAGTTTTTTGATACATGAAAAATTTGCTTTAATGTAAATAAGACCACATTTTACATATAAAATAATATACATTTAAAATTAATTTACAATTTTTAATGTGTTTTGCTTAATCTTTCAAGTTTGAATTAAATTTAGAACTTCAAAATTATCTACATAAAAGAAAGCTGACTAGCCAAGTACCCCAATGGGTAATTATTAGCTAAATACAGTAATGGTGTATTTGGAAACATTTTGTTAAACAGCTGAATTCTGTGTACAGCTTTTAAAAAAGAACTTTTTGAAAACAAGTAGGTATACAAAATTCTAATAAAATGGTTTTAAATTTTGTGTAGCTTTCATTATTTAAAGAATAACATCAAATAACATTAACAGAACTTTGTCATCATTGTTACTTTCGAATCACAATTGTTTTCAAATTGTGCTAAGTTTAATTATTAGTTTTTTTTCGAAAACTGTTAATGTTAAAAGATACAATTTAGAAAGTTAATCTGCGTTCAATTTACCAACAATAAAATTTAATACATATTTTCCTCGAGGATTATTAATTTCATCAATAGTAAACAAATTTATAAGTTTAAGTACACTCAGTATAAGATACTGAGTGTAACTGGACTATTTGACATTTTTACATGTAACTATAACGTAAAAATATCAAATAGTCCTGTTACATTCTGTATAAATAGTTTTTCTTAATGTACTTTCGTCTGGTACCTAGGTATATGTTGATGAGTGTAATTTTTTAAAAAATTTTATTTTCTAGTTTATGTAAAAGTATGTTTGAAGAAAGTAAAGTTTTATTAAGTTCTTTGAAAAATTCTGATTGATTTTCTTTTGATAATGATGTTTTGTGAACAAAATTTGTCTAGAATATTTGTTTGAACATTATTCATGTAATAATGATAACATTATTTTGATTAATTTGACATTTTTTTTTTTAGCTTACACCGATTAGAAAACTGTTTAATTTTTTAAAATGTTGAAAATTTCACCAAAATTATTGTAGAACATATTATTACTGAGTCTCGTTTTTCACGCGGTGGTGAGAGACGGCGCGCGTTAATTCTGCATGTCACCGTCATTGTAATTTATAAATCTCACACGTTCGTAGTATAAGTTGATTTAAGTTTTAATCAGATGTCCCGTTCGACCATCGAAAGGGCCTTTGCGTTTTATACGTTTCACTAGTTGTCACGGCCTGTATACGTGATGTGGGTCACGATTACTTAATACTACGTGAATTCGGATACACAAACTACAACTTAATACCAAATATAATTATACATTAATTATTATTATTCGGTATTGTAAATCGTAATATTACCTATATATAAATTTAATTTTTGGGCCTTCAAAAGTTTACTGTACCTATTTTAGGTACACTGCGTCGGATAGGGAATGCATTGACCCACTGAGTTTTAGGATTTTCACAAGCCCAAATGTATAAAAAAAAAATGGATCGAATTGGTATAAATTCAATTATAAGTAGGACATGTAGGTACCTATTTCTATACGATTATTTATATTAAAATATTGTTCTATGGTGTACCTACCTACAACGTGTATTTTACATATTACTTTGTAGGATGACCGGTGAGAAAATAAATAAATAAAAACATAAAAAATAGGATATTTTATCAACTAGGACAACAGCTTATAAGGATATTTCGGAAGACGAAGCCATACAGTTTATAATGAACTATAAAAAAGCTAAATTCGGCAATAAATAGTGGAAAATATTTTTATCAGCATTTATTTTAAAGTTATAAACTTTCAGATGTGGCAATGTATAAAATAATAGTTCAACATTTTCAATCTGACTATGTATTTGAATTTTTTGTTCCTTATAATACAAATCCATTATGTAATTATAGTGTTTACCACGGAATTAGGTACAGTGAAAGTACCTATGCAAATTATAATTTTTTTTTTTATTTTTATGAGATAATATTTTACACATACATCTGTGCTGCAATAATCTGTGTTCAATAAGTCAACAAATAAGTAAACTAGGAAAACGTAACGATATTTTAAACTATATTCACGATAATCGTGAAAAAAAATGGGCGTCCAACAACTAATAATTGGTGCCTAAAATAATAACACCACTTTATAAGCAAATTAATTTACAAATTATTTACGTTTAAAATCCAAATACTCATAAATTATAATAGGATGTCAATGTGAGCGATTTTAAATATAAAAACCGAGTGATTTTACCATAAATAATTCCAAAAAAAAAACAAATCTGTGGCTTGGTGGAAGAAGGGCCAATTTCGTCACATTTTGTGATTGTTGAGAAATGGGCTTTGAAATTTTATTTCCCCATAAAACCCCGTGTATTTTATTAAATTTACAATTACAATAATTTAAACAATTTAAATTATACACTTTTTATTTTTTATTTCCAAAATTCAAAAAATTGACATTGGCCTTTCTTTCACCAAGCCAGAATATACTTGTATAATTTATAATAATTTCCCTTTTTTCAGCTCGGTTAAGTGTCTTCTTGATTTTGCGCGTCCTGTATACTACGAGACGTATTATACTTGCTTTATAAACAAAGTCACAGTTTATACACGCCGATCGTAAAACTTATGGCCTCGGCCCTCCGCTATATTATGCATAGATTTATAATCTCAAGACAAATTGCGTACTGCTTTCGGAAAGCCATGGAAATTATGCTTATGGCATAATAATATTTCACATTTATGTTCCTCAGATACCACACTTTGTTTACACACACATAAATATTGTTTTCTATTTACCTTATTAGGTTAGGCGTTATAGTGTTATAAATTCTCAAACGGTTTCCACGAAGTACTTATAAAATGAATAGCTGGTGTATAAATAATAACAATATATAACCGACTGATATTAAATCTCTAAATATTCATAGGGGGAAAAAAAAAAAGGCATTAATATGTTTTAACTAATACCTATATTTCGTACATTTTCCCGTTTATCCTCAGTTTTTTTTTTTCGGTTTTTCACATTTGAGCGAAATTTCTGGTAGAAAAGTTGCGTACACAGATAAATATAAAAAGTAAACACCTTTGTAAAATCATAAGATTTTTCGCTCCACTCAGAACCTGAAATACGCAATTCGAACGCATTTATTTATTTAACCGAGACATCCCAATATCTTTGTGGGACACCCTGCGCATAGAATTTTCGATACAAAATTACTAGGAAATATTAATAGAACTTAACCTCTGTAAAACTGTGGTTCTGGTGTTTGTACAATTATTTATTTACTTATTGTATAATTTGAAAACCCTTAAGTAGTTCAATATTGCGAGTGCAAGTTCAGCCTAAACAGTACTAGGTATAAAAGAAATTTTACTTGCGAAAAATGATAGAATTACCTAGCGCAGTAAGAATAAAATAAAATAAAAGATCGACATAATATAACAATACGATAAAAATGATTTAGTATTGATTTGTGTATAGTTTATAATTTTTTACGAAAATAAAATAATGTATTAACTATTATATAATGTATATAAATATATATTATCTGGTTATTATATAAGTAAATGCAATGCGTTCAGACTAGATTATTAAAATAAATTACCTTTTTATTGTAATTTATTTTATAAAAAATTTAACTATTCGAAATATTGCAAATATATTTTTCGTTTATAGCTAAATTGAATTGATTTTTCATTAAGAATTTAATTTATAATTTAAACGAACAAATTGTATTTTTGTGAGTATCGTGCCTATTACGATTATTATTCTTTTTTTTTTATACATTTGATATTGAACTGTTATTAGCAGCCGTTATTTTAATTGGTTTCAGCTGTGTGGGAGTTCATTCTTTATTCTTTCGAATACAATTACTTAACCAGATGTTTTACATTTTCAAAAAACGACCTCGTATTTTTTATATTTACGTTATACAATTGGATAATTTAAGCCACCCGGATTTAATATTGACAACAATTAATGTACCTGCCATGTTCTCGTTCTTTGTGCTGTCAAATTAAATTGTATCGAACATGTATTTCGAGCTTTAATATTCACCTACCTACCGACCTACTATAATTATATTCTGTCGATTTCTGTTTAAAATGTTTTAGAATTTCGATTAAAATGTCTATCAGATTGAATTTGCTAACAATATTATAATGACCGGAATAGAAGCCGAATGCGGTTCGTTTTCCCGTGTATAAGCGTCATCTGGCACGTCATGCAGGTATATCGATTAACGGTTGTGGGTTTGTTTGCTGTGGTTTATCTGTTTTGGATAGTACGACCAAGTTTACAGAACGGTTTGCTAAACAATTTAAATGTATCAGTATGTACATATTGTATAGGTAGTTACACTAATTTTAATCGAAAACTTATATTTGTGTTTTGATTATTATATGTATCGGCTAATTAATAATATGCGCTGTTATTATAGGTACCTACTATAATTATTATTCGAAATGCGTACAAAAATATTTTTAGAAAATTAATTTTGGTGTTTACCTATACATTAGAAAATATACTAATTATTTTAAATTTGGTTAATACGAAAATAATAATATTGTACCTAGGTACAATTTATAAACACAACAAACGAACAGAGAAAATGGCTAATTCAGTAATATTAATGATAACCAAAATTGTATTTCCCGTTTTGTGACCATGTGTTGTCGTCTGTTTTTT